AATTTCATAATTCATTTTGACATAACTAAATAGTTTTCATCATGTCTGTTTTAATTTATTTCTTTTTAACTGGTGGATAGTTGCTTTACAATGTTCTGTTGTTTTCTGTCATACATCAGCATGAATCAGCCATAGGTATACATATGTCCCCTCCCTTTTGAACCTTCCTCCCACCCCATTCCACCCCTCTAGGTTGTCACAGTAGGGCTTTTTTTCTTTTCTTTTCTTTTTTTTTTTTTTCAACGAAATTTGCCAAATTGCTATCAGGGAGCCAGACATGGAAGATGAGTTTAGAAGCACAGGAAAGCATTATCTTTAAGCTTATTATGAAGGATAATTTTGTAGAAATAGAATGTTTCATCTTTGTCTTTTGGTTTAAATGACCTAACTTGAATGTACATTTTGTTTGAATTTTGTATTTGGCATAGAGATGCTGAATGTGCTTTAAGACATATGGTCTCAAGAATATTAGAATGATAAGACCTTGGTCAGTTTTTCTGGGTCTTAATGTCTTCACATTACATACACTGGAATATTACATGTAGAAAACAAACCTCTGAATCAGCTAACTTGAATCTTATGCTACTCATGTCCAAAGATCATGAATTTTCTGAACTGGAATGTTTTATTCGGGCAAGACTGGGAAAAATAAAGTGCTATGCATTTTGACAGTCAGAAACTGTTGTTTTCACATAGTAATTTGAGTTGGTTGAGATCATAGATGAGCATATTCTAGTTACATCTTCACAGAATATTTTTGTGACCTTAATTTATTTTGACACTTAAAACGTTTTGTTTCTCTCTTTGAGTGAAAGCAAACATGAGTATAAATGACCTGAAATGAGCTCTGTGTTTACAAAATACTGAATTCTTGAAACATTTCACTACTTAGGTATGATTTTTTTGACTAATCTGAAATCCCAGCCCCCCAGGTCTTTTTTTACTGAGCTCCATTGCCTCTGAGACCACAGGAGGTCTGTTGCTTTTATTTCATTAATTTCCTGTTAAGCACAATCTTTTTCAAGATGTCTTATCAGGGAACAATGGCATTAGTTTTCTGTCAACACATGTCCTGCACACACTCTACTTAATATTTCTGTATGATTGTGTTGCTGGAATCACCATGATTATTTCCATGTCCAAGATGTGTACCTCCCTTCTTCAGTTTTTCTTTTTCTTTTTGGGGCTATACTCACTTCCCCTTCCTCTAACTTTCTATTCATTTTCTTCTAAAGCCTTTTTATTTTGAAATAAATATTCATAGGAAGCTTCAAAGATAGCACAGAGAGGCGTCCTGTTGGCTTCCCTCAGTTTGACCCCGGGTCACCGCTCTAGACAATACAAAACAGCAGGAAACGGACATTGGCGTGTTATGGAGTTCTGTATTGTTTTAGCACTCATGTAGATTTGTTTAACCACCAGCACAATCAGGATACAAAACTATTCCATCTCCACAAAGATCTCCTGTGTGTGATCCTTTTATAATAACGCCACCACCCTCCTTCCCAACGTTCTTAATCCCAGGCGACCTCTTCTCCATCTCTAAAATTCTGCCATCTGAGTATGTTTTATAAATGGAATCATAGAGTACGTGACCTTTTGAGATTGCCTTTTTTTTTAAAACAACTCCGCTCTTGACACTCAGCCAGATTGTTGCATGTATCATATTTTGCTCCTCTTTATTACTGAATAATATTCTGTGGTATGGATATACCACAGTTGACTCAATTGTCTTTGTTATTTCAAGTGTTTGGCCATTATGAATAATGTTTCTATGGATACAGTTGACCAGGTTTTTCTGTCAACATCAGTTTTTAGGGGGATAAATGCCTAGGTGTGTCCTTTTCCTGCTTAAGATATTATTTTTCTCTCCCAGGTTCTGATCACTCATAATTGATTACAGCACCTATTGAATGTTTAAGAACTAGTTTCTCTTATAGGCTGAAAAGAGAATGGAGTTTGATAAAGTAATCAGTATGCACATTAATAATATGAGGAATATAGGTGTTTTGGAGAAGGCATCACCAAGTAGACACTGCCAAGGACTTTGAACTCTGTTCGAAAGCCAACTTCATTTGTCTGAGCTTGCATTCCTTCTTACACTTCAGAAGTTACCTTTTAGACAACACACTGACTTTTTTTCCCCCAGAATCTGAAGCAATTAGCAAGGAAGTTATATTTCTTACAGCCTTTATCTAGGGTAAGAGTGAGAATTATCAGCCTGAATTCATCAAATGCACATGATACCTTATCTGTGAAATGTGTCTTAAAATATCCTTGGTTCAAAGGCAGGGATTTTTAGAAATGTAATCTGGCACAGTTAAAGGAATTGCTTTAGATAATCTCCAAAAGCTACTTCTATACCTAAAAATCTATGATTCTCTTCAAAAATTTCTGTTTTAATGAAGAAGAAACTGAGGTTTAGTGACTTAATATCATGCAAACAATAAGTGGATGGGTGACCACTCAGAGATAGAAGTCAGGAGTGTTGTCTGTCAATATACCCTGTAAATGTAAAAAAGGTAAAAGATTCATTCATTTTTAAAATAAGGAAACCCAATTATGAATTGACTCCAAAGAAAGATCTCTCTCTTTCTCATTACAGATTAGATCAGAGAAATGGATTATGGAAAATGAAACTCTGGTGACTGAGTTTGTTTCCGTGGGCTTGACAAATCGTTTACAGCTGCAGGTTGTTCTTTGTGTGATATTTCTCTTGGTCTCTGTTGCCACTTTTCTGGGAAACTTGGGGGTGAGCACTCTCATTTGGATGGATTCTCGACTCCACAGCCCCATGACCTTTTTTCTCAGCCACTTGTCCCTTGTGGACGTCTGTTCCTCTTCTGTCATTGGTCCCAAGATGTTAACTGACATCTTTGTGGAGATGAAAGTCATCTCTTTCTTTGGTTGTGCGGCCCAGATCTGGTCTCTTGGTCAGTGTGCAGTGACGAGTGTTTCCTCCTGGCTTCCATGGCATACGACTGGCATATGGCCTATTGTATACACTCATTATGTCTCAGTGAGTCTGTGGGCAGCTGGCGGTAACTCCTTACACCGTGGGCCTTATAAGCACCATGATGCATACAACTTTCACCTTTGACCTGCCTTACTGTGGTCCAAAAATCAATCACTTCTTCTGTGACCTCCTTCCTGTTCTCTCCCTGGCATGTGCAGACACACGGGTCAATGCAGTTTTACTTTCATCTTGGCTGGAGCTCCAGGAGTACCCAATAGCCGGATCATCTTGGTCTCATTTAATTGTCATCACTGTCCTGAGCATCTGCTCTGCTGACGGGAGGGGGAAGCCTTCTCCATCTGCTCTTTGCACCTAACTGCTGTCTCCAGCAATTATGGGACATTCTTCTTCATCTCTGTACTTCCAAGTTCCAGTTTCTCCCTGGATATTGATAAAGTGGTTTTTGTGTTCTACACAGCCCTGATTCCCATGTTGAACCCACTTATCTATAGCCCAAGAAACAAGGAAGTAAAATAATCATTCAGAAGGACATTTGAAAGGAAGAAGTTTCTTATGGGTAAATAAACTGGAACACCATTTATACTACAGATGGAGAGTAATCTGTATGCAAGATGTAACCACATGGGCTGGGTATAGAGAATCTTTATTTTATGTTGAGATTTTGGGTCATTGAAAAGTCATACAATGTCTTAGGTTATAATTTTCTCACTTTGCTTTTCTCATTTCTGATTTAGTAGGGATGGATTTTAGAACTTTAAACTCAAAAGAGTAGACTATTGAATCCCAAGACCTGAAAATATTCTTACTTATATAAAAAATTTTATGACTAGGATATCAGAAGTTCTTTGTTAAGTCCTGAGTAAATGTTGTAATCACAGCAGTGACTTAACAGTATTTTCGTTTTTCTTACAGTGTGTTGAGATCTCTCATTGTCTGTAATCTTGACCTTGACCCTTTAAACATAGAATATTAAAAAATGTATTAAGGTCAAAAGTTTAAAACTTTCAGTTATAAGATAAATATGTTCTGGGGCTGTAAAATATAGCATAGTTGCTATAGCTAACAATACTGTATTTTATATTTGCAAGATGCTGAGAGAGGAGATTTTAATCATTCACACCATGAATAATAAAATTCAGAACTCTGTTAGGTGACTGACAAGCTAATTGGGGTAATCATTTTGCAGTATAGACAAATATTGAGTCATTACGCTGTATACCTTGGACTAATACAATATTATGTTAATTATATATCAATAAACCTGAAAAAAGTGAGATATTCAGGAACTACGTAACCATAGCACTCTCTAATATTACCTTCATATTTGGCGTAGATTTATTCCCAAGGCCTTTTATATCCTCTATACTCTTTAGTCATAGTAATAACTTATTGGGATTTTGTGTTGTAATCATATGCTTTGTGCATATGAAGTACAGAATGCCTCCATGTTCTTTAATAAAGTATGTAAATGTCCTGTAAATATTGCAAAATTGCTCAGTCTCACTAGAAATCAGCAAGATGACTGGTAAAGCTCCAATGCAGCACCAGGCTTACCTTTGTCAGTGAAACATCTCTCAATTTTTCATGAAAAAACCTGTGTAAATATAGTAGAAATTCTTCACACATTTTGATTCTCAGTGATTTTTTGGGGGGGTCTGTATTGGAAAAAGACACTAATTAAAATGATCACAATGTCAAATAAGGTATCCTGTGGAAAATTCTCCATTATAATGAACTTTAGATAAACAGTTCCAGAAATTGTGTCATCATTACACTGAAGTTTTGCTCTGTAAGTAGCTAAAGAAGGAGGTAAGGAAAGGAGTCAAACACAGAAAACAAATATTTTGATCCCAGAGGATTTTTAAAAGCATTTCGAGGCAGCAAGAACATTTTAATTTCCTCTTAATAAAATTCCCAGGACATGGCATACTTTAGGGAAACAAATTCTACCAGAAAAAAAAAATGATGTAACTACTTCTGAAAACCTTAATTCATGTGGAGATTTTCTTTTTCTTTTTTTCAGAGTGGAATCTTCCTACTTCTTTGGGGGAAACACTAAGAATAAAACCAAGTGACTGCTTGACAGTTGGACTTCTTCTCTGTGCAAAGGCACAGGTCGGGGTGGGAAGATTTGATGCATGCTGAAAAAAGAGCATGGTTTGCACTCCAGTTTTAATTCTCTAAAGAAGAAAGGAACTCACTGACATGTAAGTTTAATTCATTTTTTAAACCTATTTCTGCTTCTCTATCTATCTTCAAAAGATCAAGATGAGTTAAATGGATTTATGGGAAAATAAGACTGACCAACATTTAAAATATTTTATAGGTTTTCTAACGTCAAACAAACTCTTAGTTAAACCCCATTTTTCTCTCTAAAACATTTAAGCCATGTTGCTCTTTAGAACTGTATTTGATTTGCTGGCGTTTTATTCTAGCTTTTTTAATGCCAGTGTTCCTAATCTGAAAACCTGCAATTTCTTTTCTTATGGATAACGTTGTGCTTTTAAGTAATTTAAAGCTTTGTGCACTATCAATTTCTTGTTTTTTTCTCACTCTAGAGGCCGAACTAACCAATGGCTGGTGAAAACTATACAAGGATCACAGCTTCCTCTTCTTGCTCTTCCTTCTTTTTTACCTTGTTACCGTGACCGGAAACCTGGGCATGATTTTCCTCATCCGGGTGGATTCCCGCCTGCACACACCGATGTACTTTTTTCTCAGTCACCTGTCCTTTGTGGATGTCTGCTTTTCATCCGCGGTTGGCCACAAGATGCTCAGAGACTTCTTCGCTGAAAGGAAAGCCATTTCTTTCCTAGGCTGCGCCTTGCAGCAGTGCTTCTTTCTGTTTGTGGCCATCGAGTGCCTTCTCCTGGCATCCATGGCTCATGACCGCTACGTGGCCATCTGCAACCCATCGCTGTATGCAGTTGTTATGTCCCACAGACTCTGCAGACAGCTGGTGGTTGGACCCCACGCTGTTGGATTTCTGAACACCATGACCCACACAACAGCTGCCTTCCGACTTCCCTTTTGTGGTTCCAACATTATCAATCACTTCTTCTGTGACATGTCCCCGCTTCTGTCTCTGGTATGTGCTGACACGTGGATCAATAAATTGCTAGTTTTCATCGTGGCTGGAGCTGTACTTGTGGTCAGCAGCCTGACTATATTAATCTCCTATTTTCACATCCTCATCTCTATCCTGAGCATCCGCTCTGCTCATGGGAGGCACAGAGCCTTCTCCACGTGCTCTTCCCATCTCACAGCTGTCTCCATCTTGTATGGGACTCTCTTCTTTATCTACGTGAGGCCAGGCGCAGTTTTCTCTCTGGATCTTAATAAAGTGGTGGCAGTGTTCTACACAGCAGTGATTCCCATGTTGAATCCTCTCATCTACAGTTTGAGAAATAAAGAAGTGAAAGCTGCTATGTGCAAGACCATCGCCAGGAGAAAGTTTTCCCTCAAAAGTTAAAGTTCCATCTAAAACAGAAAATAGATTAAAAAGTAAAGCTTCCAGACATGGCTAGACTATCTGACCATCATCCAAAGATGCTAAAAAATTTGCAGAATTTGGGGGGTGCTATCCTTCCATTCTTCTACATGATTTTTATTTTAGTACATTTTTTAAAAAGCTCCATTTCATCATGTCCCTATTAGTGATAAAAATTCCCAATCACCCAAACTCAGAGCAATTCTTTCTCCTCAAACATCTTCATTACTGAGAATATGATCAAATCTAATAAATGTTGAAGTAACCTAGCTACTAATGCTCTCACACTAGTTGGACCAACAGAAATGTCCAGATGAGGTGAGATTCTTTGAAGCAGCAAACATGACTCCTATTCTTACATGCAGAGTTGAAAATATCAAATAGAACATTTACTTCTCTTACATATGACTTTAAAAACTAAATAACCCTCCATACATTATTTTTAATATCTATTATGCTTATTTTCTTAATTCTTATCTTCCAAAAATACAATATCATGATCACTGAAGATAAAAAGAAAATGCAGCTAAGCAAGTGAAGAATAATGTTAACCAAAAAAAGAAAAAATTCAGTATTCTTATTCTTCCACCAAGTGACAAGTCCTAGCAATAGTTCCCATTTGCCTCGCTACATATACATTTACTCTTTAGTTTTCCAACTATTACTTTAGTATTAATATTCAGTTTTCCCTACTTCTTTCAAATAAACATAGCAATAGCTTATGGCAAAAAGTAGAAATAAATTGCAAAGAAATGAATGAAAAAAAATGAGAAAACTTCTAAAAAATCAGAAACAATGTGCTGAGAAGTTATTGGTAATTAAAATGCAGAAAATTTATTTCTTATTATCTTGTTAGTAGTTTTCTGTTATACTTTTCAAATTAAAAAAATACAATAGAATGATGATAAAAAGTATTTCAACAGCTTTCTGTTCCCCTCAACCTCAGAAGAAACTAAAGAAGAATTAAATGAATTGCAATCATTTTCATAGAAGTTCAGTGATTTTTGAAAAGTATCTGTTTGGTATAAACTAAATTCTAACAACATCTATTTTTAGCCCTGATAGCTATTGGTGATCTAAAAATGTGCAATTTATCCCCAGGTTATACAGAGACCCACATATGAGTAGGGGAAACAAAACAAAAAACAGACACGCTTGAGTAGTGATGTAGGAAAGAACTAGGGTTGAGAATATAGCTCAAACCCCTGCCCAGATAAATATCTTGATAGGGTTGTTGGATAAGCAAAAGATTTCTCAGGCAGTATTGATGAAAAGATAGTGTCACAGTCCTTATTCCTCACTCCAGAAGTTGTTGTACCTGCTTTGAACATTGCAACTATACTAAGATAGCACATTACAGGGACTGGACTGGTCATGAAGTGACTTGGGTTCAAGGGAAGTGAGCAGACTATGGAATCAACTGGATACCAAGATGTGGAGCCAGTGTACAGGCTAGGAATAATAGTACATTCAATGAAGCTGTTGTCTCTGCAGGAATGAAGCATGTGCTAAATAGTCAGAGAGACAGAAATAGTGCCAGTAGGATGCTATTAAAAGGATCAGGATGTTAGCTCAGAAATTTTCATCCATTTAATTTCTATTATTTATTTATTGCAGAAAACAATTAGATGGAGGCTGGGATGAACCATTTCAGATGTGTATGTGTTTGCTGCTAATAGTGAGATGAGGTGACTTTTCTTTCTCTTGCTGGAAAGAAAATTATCACTGTTCTGATCTGTGCCTTAGAGCAGAGGTTCTTGGGGTTCTGGCAGATGGTAAGTGGGTCTTCTAATCATCTGTGGTATCTAAATATCTTCTGGAAACCGAGCTCTATTTATTTGCTGAGTCACACAGATGATGTGTTACAGTGGTGGAGAGGGTTTCTGTTCTTGGGTTTGTGAACACCATCATAGCTCATGACAGTTGTTGATTTCCAATTATTCTCCAGGTCATTTCTAAGACATCACCCTACTATTTGCCATCAAATGCTCTGACACTTCATCCAATGTATTTTTACTCAAAAATATTTTTATTATGGAATGTTTATATTTATAGAATAATGCAACATGATGAGACCCTCTGTTCCCAACATCCAGGTTGTTACTGTTTGTATCTGGAGTTATAGGTTTGATCTAGCCATCTGCATGTGAAAGAAAGTAAAAAAGGAGTTTCCCTGGTGGTTCAGATGGTAAAGAATTTGCCTGCAATGCAGGAGCCCCTGGTTCCAACCCTGGGTCCTAAAGATAGCCCAGGGAAGGGAATAGCAACCCACTCCAGTATTCTTGCCTGGAGAATCCCATGGAGAGAGGAGCCTGGTGGGCTGCAGTCCATGTACTCTCTGTTTGCCTCCTTGTGGCCTTTGTGAGAATTCACTCAGCTGCTGGAGGGCACAGGATTTCACTCCTGCTTTTACTCTGGATGATCTCTACACTGGATGAGAATCACGACTTAATCTACGAGTTAGTCTTCCGAGTTTTCCTGACTTTCTCTAAAGGAGTGAAGCCTTTAGCCCTAAGGTCTCAACAACAAAAGGATATTTATAAAAAAGAAGACTTTTATTCTAAGACCTAAATTCATATCCAATACAGAATATGGGGGAGAAAAGAACTTCTATGAAAATCAAATGAACTGGGAATGTTCCTATTATTCTATACAATTTAGCAAGGCTTCTGAATGAATGGGAAAAGGAGAGGCTGCTTGATCAGAACTTATGTTCCTGTCATTTGGATGCCATGATTGTGTCTCACTTTCCCAGGAAAAGAATAAACTTCAAACCCAATGCTCGGTGCATCAAATCCTGCTGCCAAGAGATTGCCCTTAATCTTGACTTTGAACCACAAGCATCAGTGCTACATTGCTTCAATCTTATCTGACTGTTTGTGACCATATGGACTGTAACCCTCCAGGCTCCTCTGTCCATGGGATTCTCCAAGCAAGAACACTGGAGTGGGTTGCCATGCCCCCCTCCAGGGGATCTTCCCCACCCAGGGAAAGAACCCATATCTCTTATGTCTCCTGCATTGGCAGGTGGGTTCTTTACCACTAGCACCATCTGGGAAGCCCTTTGAACCACATACACAATTCTTTAAAATACCTTTATTAGATCTCTGCACCAAAGAAAATTTCTAGAGCATTCTATCATTTCTTCCTGCCCCAATCTCTAATGAGTTTTTTGACAGTAGTATTTCTAATGCTAAATTTGATATTATAACATACAGTCACAAATCTGACCTAATTCACCTATGATTTTGGACTAGAAGAAATATACAGCAACATTAAAAAAGTCACCCAGAGACCAAAAACCACATCCAAGGTAAGAGAAACCTAAGTAAAATGGTAGGCACTGAGAGAGGGCATGAGAGGGCAGACAGACTGAAACCACAGTCACAGAAAACTAGTCAACCTGATCACACGGACCACAGCCTTGTCTAACTCAATGAAACTAAGCCATGCCATGTGGGACCACCCAAGACAGACGGGTCATGGTGGAGAGGTCTGACAGAATGTGGCCCACTGGAGAAGGGATTGGCAAACCACTTCAGTATTCTTGCCTTGAGAACCCCATGAACAGTATGAAAAGACAAAAAGATAGGACACAGAAAGACGGACTCCCCAGCTCATTAGGTGCCAAATATGCTACTGGAGATCAGTGGAGAAATAACTCCAGAAAGAATGAAGGGAAGGAGTCAAAGCAAAAACAACACCCAGTTGTGGATGTGACTGGTGATAGAAGCCAGGTCTGATGGTGTAAAGAGCAGTATTGCATAGGAACCTGGAATGTTAGGTCCATGAATCAAGGCAAATTGGAAGTGGTCAAACAGGAGATGGCAAGAGTGAATGTCGACATTCTAGGAATCAGCGAACTAAAATGGACTGGAATGGGTGAATTTAACTCAGATGACCATTATATCTACTACTGTGGGCAGGAATCCCTTAGAAGAAATGGAGTAGCCATCATAGTCAACAAAAGAGTCCGAAATGCAGTACTTGGATGCAATCTCAAAAATGACAGAATGATCTCTGTTCGTTTCCAAGGCAAACCATTCAATATCATGGTAATCCAAGCCTATGCCCCAACCAGTAATGCTGAAGAAGCTGAAGTTGAATGGTTCTATGAAGACCTACAAGACCTTTTAGAACTAACACCCAAAAAAGATGTCCTTTTCATTATAGGGGACTGGAATGCAAAAGTAGGAAGTCAAGAAACACCTGGAGTAACAGGCAAATTTGGCCTTGGAGTACAGAATGAAGCAGGGCAAAGGCTAATAGAGTTTTGCCAAGAGAACACACTGGTCATAGCAAACACCCTCTTCCAACAACACAAGAGAAGACTCTACACATGGACATCACCAGATGGCCAACACTGAAATCAGATTAATTATATTCTTTACATCCAAAGATGGAGAAGCTCTATACAGTCAGCAAAAATAAGACTGGGAGCTGACTGTGGCTCAGATCATGAACTCCTTATTGCCAAATTCAGACTTAAAGTGAAGAAAGTAGGGAAAACCACTAGACCATTCAGGTATGACCTAAATCAAATCCCTTATGATTATACAGTGGAAGTGAGAAATAGATTTAAGAGACTAGATCTGATAGACAGAGTGCCTGATGAACTATGGATGGAGGTTCGTTGACATTGTACAGGAGACAGGGAGCAAGACCATCCCCAAGAAAAAGAAATGCAAAAAAGCAAAATGGTTGTCTTACAACCATTGAAATTGTGATATCTCACTTTATCCCTCTACATGCATGGAAGATATTTGCCTCTTTTCATAGGACTATGTTCTTTAATTAGATCTTACAAATAGCTGTAAAAAGAAGAGAAGCGAAAAGCAAGGGAGAAAAGGAAAGATATACCCATTTCAATGCAGAGCCCTAAAGAATAGCAAGGAGAGATAAGAAAGCCTTCCTCAGCGATCAATGCAAAGAATAGAGGAAAACAATAGAATGGGCAAGACTAGAGATTTCTTCAAGAAAAT